TGAGCTTTCCCCGGCTAGTTGGTTTGTGTTTGCAGTACATTAGCTAATCTCATTTCAGCTTGCACAACATCTCCCATCGTGCGAATGCACACGCACAGCCGTGATGCTGAAGCCCTGCCAGGGCCCCGCACTCGCTGCCTCTGTTCTGCCAGATCCCGCACGCAGCACAGGGCAACCAGCACGGGGCCTTGCAGCCTCGGCAGATCCCTGTTTGCAGGGCTCTGTGCAGGCGCTGGCATGCTAAACGCTGTGCTTTTGGAGGAGACATTTATATAGCAGCGCTTAGTGACTGCTGGTGAGCTTAGTGCCAACCCCTCATCATACTGACACGCTGAGCAGTGTCATGTTAGAGCGAGGCTTGATAATAGCTCTGCACGAGTGAAAGGTTATGATTTTGCTAAGATCCTGGTAAGTAATAGACCTGTGCTGGTGTCACGTGTTGGACATGCAATGCAATCACACGGCAGAAGCGTGGTGGGACCAGCATCCATATGGGGCCGACCTGCTGCCTGCGTGGGCATGGTGCATTTGGGGCTTTTGTGCAAAGGCAATGAGGAGCATCCTGCCCTTGGTGGGCAGAGGGAGGAGCTGGGGGGCAGCGAATGGCTTCCAACCATGGGAGCTGCAGCCGTGCTATCAGCAAGGAGCTGGTCTGCTGCCAAGCACTTACAAACCAATCAATTAAACCATCAAAGCTTGGGAGAGCAAAGTGAAACGGTATGGATTCTTCCTTACGTGAGAAGAGCTTTGGAACCAATCCCTTCCCCAAAATGAGAACAACCACCCCGAGTGCTGCCACTCCGCTTCCCTTGGAGCTCTGCACTTCTCCCACCATCCGTCCCCTGCTGCCAGCACACAACCAGGCTGGTTGGAATCATTTACCCTTCGGGTTAACCTGCTCACACAGTGCAGCCCGAGCTGACTGCCCTGCTAATCCCCTCCTTGTGAGCGCAATCACCGGATATTTTACATGTACCTGCAGATGATAAGCGAAAATGTGAAGCAGTGACAGAGCTAAGCACTGGTTCTTAAAGGATTCATTAATAATTCCTCCATTTGAAGATGATTCCTCACTGCTGTTTTTGGAGATCTGTGAATGAGCCCGTTCTTAACTCTCTTCAGATGCACCACTCTGATATGGATCATGCTGCTTTTCATGAGAATTCTGCTTGATGCCACATCAAATGCATTGCGACAACCTGCAGTAGCTCCGCAGACACCTTCCCCCCTCCCAAATCTGTAATCTCTTCAAAGACCACAATCAGCTGTTGGACAAGAACCCGGTTTTCGTAACACCGCCGTTGCTGTGCTCACTGTCAGCCATTCTTTCCCTCTTTTCCATTTCCCTTTGCCATTCCTCTGCCTTTGCCCACCGCCCGACTGCATTGTCGAGATGCATCCGGTGGCATTCATCCCCAGCCCACATCTCAGGGACATACAAACCCAATCCACATCCCACAGAGACACTGATTGCAGAGCATGTTTTGGGGAAATCGTTTGGCATTGAGAAGAGTGTCCTCTGCTCAGTGCTGAGGCCGAGGCTGAGCCCATTACATCCTGAGAACAAGTGAAAGGTAAGTGCAGCACGTGCAGATAATGCAGAAATAATGCATCGCTGCCCTCTTGCAGGCAGACAAGGCTGAGGAGCTGCAGAGCTTTGCCTCACTGCAGAAAACTTCCAACAAAACTTCTTTTTATTTCTTAAGGAGAAATTGCTAGATAGGACAACATCAATTCTGTGCACTCATGAATTTACAAATTCAGCTTTCTGTGTCAGGAACAGTATCTGGTGCAGAGTAACTTATCTTGCAATTTATATGGGAAGCAATGAGCAAATACCAGCAGCATTCTGGTGTGAATACCAATTTTGAACAAACACAGGGAATGGGGGCCCTGGTAAAAAAGCCTTCTCAGAGCAGGGCTCTGCTGGGCAATGCAGAAGGCAGCTTGCTCTGTCTGTCAGGAAAGAGAACTCTTGCAATGCTGCCCTCCCACAGACCCAGCCCTGCAGCCCAACCTGGTGGTGCAGTGAAAGGCTTTGTCGTGTCAGGGGAGGAACTGTGCACAGCCACTCAACTGAGCATCTTGGTTGGGGAATAATGGTGGTAACAAGGCTGTCAGGGTTCAGCACTTCATGAGCTGCTGTTAACTAAGTTTTGAATGATGCATGTGGGATAAAATAGTGCCAGTACCCTGTGTTAGGGCTGTGGAACAGAGGTGCCGGGGCTCAGGTGCAGCCCCACTGCATGGCCAAAGCCTTTGCACGGCTGATGGGATGGCCCTTGGGGGTGCGCCTCTGCCAACCCATGCAGCAACCCGGGGGGGCTGTGCACCGCTGTGGGGCTGATGCTGCAGCCACAGAACCCTCCAGTTCCGCTGCCCCATCCCTGCAGCGGCTTTGTTTCCCCTCCAAATCCCAACAGGCAACAGAGAGCCTATTTTTGAGCCGGGCAAAGTCTTCTCCTGTCGCCAAGGAACAAGGGCTTCCCTCCTGAAAGGCCTCCAGCTGTGTCTGCGGGCAGGCGCTAAAAGGGGCTGGAAACGCGCCTGGCCTCAGCTCAAACCCCCATTCAGTGTCCGTGTTTGTGAGGCAGAGCAGGGCTGCAGAAGCCAAGGGCTGGAGTGGCTCCGCCATTCTGAGGGACAAAGGCCTTTTTTTTTGCCCCAAGACAATATTGCCACTCAGCAGAGATGTCCCCCAGTCAGCAGAGACGCCGATCGTTCCCCAGAACTGCGAGGCTGCAATCGATGGGTGTGACTGCAGAGCCAACGCAGCATTGCTGGGCTGCTGCATCCCCACCATAGAAATAAATGAGAGATTGATTTTCCCAGCGGTCTGGAATCTACATTGCTCCCACTGATCTCTGATCTTTTGGCACTGCCAAAACGGTGGGGCTGAGCTCCTCCAGGCCACCACCTGTCCTCCAGCAACCACCACGCAGGCAATCCGGCTATCTTTTCCCTGCGTTGTTGGGGACAGAGCAGCAAAACCACTGGCTGGGTAGAGCTGGGCTTCAGGAGCAGCTCAGATAGCTGAGCAATGCCTCTATCTCCGCTTCAGAGCCCAGAGCTTGTGGGCTCAGCACAGCCCCACGCAGCTGCAGACCCACCCCAGAGCCAGGGAGCGGCACCGCTGCCCTTCTCAGAGCGCCTTATCTTCAAGCTGCTCTTGCTAAGTCACATCTGACTTAATTATGGTAATTAAGATTGACACGAAGACACGATTAAAATGTGAAATTTGAATTAGCTGTGAAACTTATCTGAATTTTTAGCACGCTCATTGATTTTCTTCCCTATTAATCAAAGGTCCAAGGTAGCCACCGATGAACATGGGGTTAATTAAAGCGATGCCCACTAAAATGGCCTCAGGAGATGCTCCTCTTGATTTCCTTTCAAATTCCCTGAGCACTGCCCAGGGAGCAATATCCATTTCTCATTTCTCCTTTCCTTGCACAGAGTTCTGGGGCTGCTTCTCCTGCAGGGCAGCGCCCATCACCATGCACTGCCCACCCAAAACTGTGCACACAGGCTGAGATTCGGGCTCCGTTCCTCTCTCTCCCCCCCATCACCAACTTCTGCCACTTAGAGGGCATTTTTGCCTTACAAATTCCCCCTATCTTCCTTTTATTATTTTTTTTTTTTCTCCTCCCTGTTACCATGGCACTGATGTTATTATATGGCTATCTTTGGAGTTTACTACAATGCAAATGAACACAATCAAAATCACTCAAGGAAAACTGCTGAACGAGAGACAACTTTTATCTGTGATAAGCGCAGGTCGGGAGGGAGGGCGGGGATGGAGCAGGGGGAGCAGAGCACACATACTGCCACAGATAGCTTTGTTATCCCAAACGAAACCTCTGGGCAAGCAAATCCCACTTTGGATATGTAGCATTTGTAGTGATAGCAGGTTTGGGTTATTGTTGCTGAGGTAACCAAATAGATGTCTAAAAGGTAGTAGGGTCTGATCTGCACCATCAACAAAGGAGACATTATGGGGAAATGCTGGCCTTGGTCTTGTGATATTTGGCTCTTGTGCCACGCTTGGTGACACCACTCTGGCTATTGGATATGACAGGCAGAGGGGACCAGGCAGCTCTCACCGGGAGCTGATTTACAGTAAACAACTCAGGGTCAGATTTGTGATTTTGAGAGCAAGAAACCTCGGTTTCTGTTCTTATCCAAGTCAGTGTAACAGCACTGGTAGCTCTGGCAGCTCAGCCACAGCCTGCTACAAGGACCCATCTCACTGTATTGGTGGTGATTCAGGGGGACCAGAGTGGGCTGGGACCCTAGGAGCTGTCTGTCCCTGGTCACCATGAGCAGGGAGATCACAGAGATCAGTAGCTTTCTGAGGGTTGTCCATGGGGATGCCAGTGTCCTCACCCACAGCCAGAATACCAGCCTTGGCTTCCCTGGCTCCAGCAGCAGGACCAGTCCCTGGAGTTCCTGTGATCCCAAGGGGGGCACTGGGCCTGTATCAGCCCCTCCCAGAGCACCACTGCCCTCTCCACGGCAGGCATTTGGGAGGAAAGGGGGCAAGACAGGGATGGAACGGGGAGCAGAGAGGGACCTGGGGAGCCGGTGGGGGCCTGGGGACGAGGAGCGGCGAAGCCGGGCTGCAGCCTACGGGTTGAAGGAGGGGGGAGATTCCTGGGGAAGAGGGAGTCACAGGGGGCTGCGGGGGAGCCGGGTAGAACCGGGGGGGGGCGGGGCAGAGCTGGGGGGAGGCGGGGGGGGGCCGGGGAGCTGCGGGCGGGGCCGCAGCGCACGGCGCAGCGCGGGGGCCGGGGCGGCCGCCGTTGCCCTCCCCCGCCGCTCGGCTCCGCTCGGCTCCGCTCCCCTCCTCTCCTCCCTCCGCCGCGCCGCTCCCCCGCGCCGGCTCCGGCTCCGGCGGCAGCCCCAACCCCAGCCCCCGCCCCCGGCCCGGCCCCGCTCGCTTCGCCTCCGCTCGCTTAGTAGCATCTCGGAGGCTCCGCCGCTCCCGCCGCCGCCGCACGATGCCGGGGCCCCGCGGGTTCTGCCTGCTCGCCCTGCTGCTGCTGGGCAGCCCCGCCGCTCCGCGCCCAGGTAAGCGGGGCGGAGCGGGGCGGAGCGGGGCCGCGGCCCCGGGGCCCTGCGCATCCCGGGGGTCGGGTGGGCAGGATGGGGTTTGGAGGGTAGGGGGAGGGGGAGGAGGAAACAGCCGGCCCGGGAGGGGCTGATGGAACCGGACGGGCACCCCCCCACCCTTCGTGCACCGGGTCTCCGGGTCGGGCTGAAACTTCGGGCATTGCGGGCAGAGCACGGCCCGGCGGGACGGCGGCGGTTCAGCACCGCGGGGCGGGCAGCTCCCGGCCGGGCGGCGGGGCGGCGGGGCGGCGGGGCGGCGGGCTGTGTGCGATCCGGCCGTGATAACGGCAGCGCTGTCCTGTCGGGATGTGTGGCATCGGAACCGTGTCCGACCGGAGCTGTGACAATGGCAGCACTGTCATAGCGGTGCTGCGTCCGCCCGGGGAGCGGGGAGTTACCGGCAGCTGTGTGCTAACGGGGGCCGTGTCCTTCTGGGGAGTCAAACCGTGCCTTGTCGGGGTCTGTGTGCTACCGAGGCCGTGTGCTAATTAAAGGCGGTTTCCTCTGGAAAGCTTTGTCCGAGTGCTACCGGGCTGTATCCCACAAGGGAGCCATGTGCGGATGCTGTGCTTGGGCAGGGATATGTGTGCTGCTGGGATGCTGTACCTGGGAGCAGTGCCCCTCCAGGGAGCCGTGCCCCAGCTGGGGGGGCTGCATGTTCATTCCACGTGTTTCACATTTCCGCACAAACCTGCTCCCTTCTTCCTTTTCCTATCGCTGTGATGACAGACCTAAGAATAGGCTTCGGGACCCATTTGCAGGTGACTTGACAAAGTCACTGCAAACTCGCGTGGTGCTTAGAGATTGCTAAACCGGTGGCTGCTCCTGATCTCTGGTCGCTGGATTGGGCAGTCGGCTCTGTGCAGTGCTAGCTCCATCACTGATGCGCATTGGGCAGAGAGAGGACTGGAGAGGCCAGTGCCTGCCTGTGCTGCAGCGTTTGTGCAGGGCCTGGGAGACTGACCCCTAGGGCTGGCAGTTGGTTTTAGCAGAGATTAACAGCTCCTGGTGTCAGGAGTGCTGTGCAATGTTTCCTGCCTTGCTTTCTCTTCTGTTCTTGTGTCCAGATCGCATTAAAAGAGTTTGACTTTGTACACAATCTACCCTTATTTCTGAGTAACAAAATAGATTGTGCTGTTTACTCTCTCACCTGTGTGTGTGTTCTGCACGTGACCGTAACAGTGTACATAACAAGGAGTCAGATCTGAAGTCTATTTGCAGTTGATGGCCTCCTGTTTCAGAACTGAAACAAACAGACCGTTCCTCTGTTGTGCTGCAGACGCTGCCATACAGGCAGTGCTGAGCTGCACTGGGAGATGTGCCTGGGGGGGTCTGGGGGCAGAGCACCCACTGCGAGCAGCAGCCCAGCTTCTCCCAATAGGATTTGGCCCTGATGGCAAGCACGATCCGTCATTAATCTCAGGGCGGGAGAACACATTGTACCGAACTCCTCTCATGTTGGCTGAGTGGAAGCTGATAAATAGTTGACCCTTTGCGAGGTTTGGCGAATTAGTGCTGCAAAATCCCCGACTGCTGGCAGCAATGCTGGGGAAAAGGGCTGCGTGGCGGCTCTGCCCGTGCCAGAGGGACTTTTGTCCTTCGTGTGCAGGAGGTGACAGCCAGAGCTCAGATCCGCAATCCCTTCTGCTCTCAGCCTGGGAGGGGAGCGGGCTCAGACCCTGCAGGAAGATGGCTTGTTGTGCTCCATCTGCCTGATCTTCCAGCTCATTCCTTCAAGGAACAGTCCGTGCTGCGTGACGCGCACCAATCACTTGCTCTGCCGGTGGCTTTTTGGCGCTTTGCACTTGTGGAGTCATTTAGATCAACAGAGAGGAGGTGTGAAAGCCTCTCCGCAGGCACCGCTCTGCTCCCACCCACCAGCACGGGGAGCAGCAGCAGTGCAGGCAGCGAGGCACGGCCCTGCGGGGTGTGAGGGCAGCGAGCAGCGTGCTGGGGGCATCGCGGGCTGTGTGCTGTTGCTGTGCCGGGAACATCGCGGGCTGT